AAAGAAAGAAAGAAAGAAAGAAAAGTTAATAATATTATGCCAAAAAAGTAAGTGGGACTATAATATTCCTTGACTTCCAGAGATTTCAGCTAAGGCCTAAACCAATTTTCTATGCATGGCATGTGGAGATCCGGTACTATCTAGCCATCTAAGATAAGTTCAGAACACACCTAGCATATGCACTGCTTTCTCAAGGAGCTATAAACTTAGGAAGAGCAGATCCCACATAGAATCCCTAGACCAAGGGGTAGGTCTACTATCTTGGTACTGTCAATGAACAGGCTTGGATTTTAAAATCCTGGGGTGAGGGTGAATGTTTTTGAGTTTACTCAATAGAAATTTGAGTTTGACCAGAATCTATCAGTCAAGAAGCACTTAAATTTGCTGGCATGTCAACCTATATGTATTAAACAAGCTAAAAATCCAAGACAATAGAACATAGATCTTTTAGATTTTAGATGACTTGTCTGCAGTCTTCTTCAATGCTTTAAAGCCTTTTTATGGCTGTAACTCTTATACTACTACAACTAGAGCTCTTTTCTCAGTCCACTGGCTATTATATAATACATTCCAGTTTAAGTCTTTTCTTCTCTCTCTTCTAGAATATTACACTACTCTTACCATTCTCTTTAGTTTTGCCCTTATTAACTTAATCTTCTACACATTTTCCACACAGTTTAGCAAAAATGTAAATGACAGTGTTTAATCTGGGTTGCTTTCTTTTCACAGTTTCCAAACCATAGTTTTAAGATTGGTGTTTCCAGATCCCACGAGACACCTGTGGCTATATTTTGTATTTGTTTTTTGTATTTGTTTTTATTTTTATTCCTTTTTTTTTTTTTTTTCTTTCTTTTTTTTGAAATAGGGTCCCACTATGTAGCCTAGTCTGGCCTTGCCTCCTACTTCTGCCTCCTGAGTTCTGGGTTGACTGGCATGTGTCACCATGCCCAGCTTTGTGGCTTCTTTTTTTTTTTTTTTTTTTTTTTTGTGCAGTGTCTCACTACATAGCCCATATTAGTAGTGATCCTCCTGATTTCTGCCTCCCAAGTGCTGGGATTACAGGCACGCGTCACTGCCGCCGGACTCCATTGCTGGCTCAGTGCACCCAGAGGCGGGGCCGGCACGGCATGCCAAGCCAGGGATCAAACCCTGGCCCCTGCGCTTACCTAAGCAAGTGCTTAGTCTGCTAAGCTATACCGCCGGCCCTTGTGGCTACATTTTTGGAAGAGTGTAAAGTATGCAAAGCTTCAGTCCCTCCCCACTCTTACTTCCCTAGAGCAAGAACACTTTCTTTCATCTTTGAGTTGTTTTAAGCTTTAATCTGAAAAATATTTTTGATGAATTAATAGTCATTGTGTAACTACTGGCCTACTGATTAAGTTCAAGTACCTAACCAGATTAGGGCTTGCCAGCTTCTGCCAGTCTTTACTACAAACTTGATATTTCAGCAAGATAATTTGTTTAGGCAAATCTGTTGTGCCTTTGCTTATATTGCTTATGCTACAAGAAAGTTAATTTTCATTCTCTGTCACTGGGCTAATATGCATCATTTCAGACATGTTTCAGGCATCATTATCTCTAGAAAGCCTTTCTAGACATTGCCATACCAGGCAAGTTTGAATTAGGTGTCCTGCTTAGTACCCTAAAAGCTCTGATTATCACTTATCTATTTTTGTTTGTTTTAGGGAAGGGCCTACAAGGTGTTTAGGGTCTCACTGCTTAGATCAGACTCATAGTGATCCACCTGTTTACAGCCTCCTAAGCTGAGATTACAGGTGTGTGCCACCATGCCCAGTCTCAATTGCCCTTTCAGTGCACCCCAGGGGTGGGACCAGCAAGGCAGTTGCCCAGGGATCGAACCTCTGGCCCCTGAGGCTGCTTGTAGGCGCTTTAATCCGCTGAGCTATTTGGCTGGCCCTCTTATTCTGTTTTTAATTACATTTTTATTGTTTGTTTTTGTCTCATTTGTCAGAGTTAGAAATTCTTCAAAGCAGGAAATACATTTTAAAGTTACCTTTATATTACCAGTTAGATGAGAGCCTGACATGTGGTAGACATAAATATTTGAGCAATTAATTATTTATTGCTTATACTTTTCTAGTGCATCAATCTTGCAGTTGATATATAACCTAAAATTAATGTATTTATTCCTGTATGGAGATTGTTTCTGTTGTGTTTATTGGTCATAGTGTATACAAATATTTGAGTTTATATTTTCAAAGAAATAAAAGAACATTACTGTTTTCTTTTTTTAGGATCCAGAATTTCAGTTTAATAGCTGGTTTTTATTTTGTACAGCTAAAATGTAAAGCTTATCCATATAATCTCTTGTCAGTGTTGGCCTGTGTGGATTAAAATGGGCATATTTTAACCTATGACCAAATTAGGTATTAGAATATCTGTCTAGTGGGGATTTGTAAATTATTATATTTTGTAGCATGGCAGGTTTATATAAACAGTTGCAGTGATTCCCGCTGTGCGTTTGAAATTAAAATCTAGGTTTAAATAGAGAAATGTAATGATAAAACTACTCAAAGCTGCCAATTTTGGAAAGCTTATTTTGATACTTTAGCACATTTGCCTTTGATATCTTAAAGATTGTATCTTTTTTAAAGAACTATCAAAGCTAAGTTGATGAAAAGAAAATTTTATGTCATGACTCTGTAAAGTATCTACCCAGGTTCTCTAAATTCAAATTTATTACATACGTAACTAATAAGGAATAAATAAGCTAAGCATCCTGGTTTTGTTCATAATGTAATACTTTTTTAAAGCTGCCTATTACCACATTTTAATAGAAACTTTCAATACTATAGGAAGACCATTCATAATTCATTTAAAAAATTTTTAGCACATTGAATATTTCTCTATTTGATAACTTCAAATTTCACTATATTTCATTTCTCAGTGGGTTTTTTAATTGTTTTTATTGTTTTTCTGAATAACTTGATAGTAAAATGAATAGATTTGGTTATAATGCTTTGATGCCTTAAAATTATAAACTTCTTTTCATACAGATAAAGATACAATAAATAAAATTAGAGACTTACGAATGAAAGCTGAAGATTATGAAGTAGTGAAGGTGATTGGTAGAGGTGCATTTGGAGAAGTTCAATTGGTAGGTTATTTTAATGAAATTAATAAAAATTTTTAAATTAAAAAATTTACTTGTGTATTTAAGGGGAAGTATTGTTTTTACAGGAAGAATTCTTGCTTTAAATTGCTCTATTCTTGGGGCTGGGGAGATAGCTCAGTAGTGTAAGTACCTGCCTAGCAAGTCCACAGTTCTGATTTCATTCCCTGGTGCCGCATACCGTACCAGCCCTGGAACCCTGGGCGCGCACTTGGCGGCACACACCTGTAATCCCAACACCAAGGAGGCTAAGACAGGAGGATCACTAGGAGTCCAAAACTGGGTCGTGAGACCCTGTATCAGAAAAAAAAACAAAACTGCTTTATTCTCACCTAAGAATATGAAAGCCTTGGACTGAATCTAGTAGTAGGAAGTGTTTTCTCTCAGTATCCTTGGGTAGTCTCAAGTATAAGAAGCTTTTTCTTATATTATTGGACTCTCCCAAATAGTGTGGGACACTGTGCTTTATAAGTGGGAGCAGTGCTTGCACCTGGGTATAGTGGGGAAGTACACTGTAATATAGGGCAGTGATGTTGAGCCTTTTAGCATTTTCGGTGATTAAAAACAGCCTGATGCAGCATACATACTGTAAGTTTGCCACCGCTTACACAGGGAATGACCTTTTTTCCTATACTACTTTTGGTAATTAAAATTGTGACATGAGCTACTTGAGAATTCAGCAGGGGGAATAAAAATAGCCGAAACAGTAATACTAAATACTTTAGCAAGTATCAGACTCATTTAATAAATTGTTCTATGAAACATTGAAGTTTAAATATGAAGATTTTATTATTTTCCAATTTTAAAGGTAAGACATAAATCTACAAGGAAGGTATATGCAATGAAGCTTTTAAGCAAGTTTGAAATGATTAAGAGATCCGATTCTGCCTTTTTCTGGGAAGAAAGGGACATCATGGCCTTTGCTAACAGTCCTTGGGTTGTTCAGGTATGATTTTATTATTTCACCGTTGCTTCACTATTTTGTTTGTAAGTAAATCTGGGAAAGTTTATGTTTTAGAACAAAAATAATTTATGAGCAATTGCAAATTATTTAATGTATCATTTTAAAATCATAAAATTAATTTTGTTGAATGTTCAGAAAGATCAGAAAAGGTTTCTGTAGAATTTAAATAATGTGATTTGAGAAAAGTTTTATTGTATTTTAACTTGATATGGTCTTATTTCCTATCAGAATATAAGGGGGCTTTTTGTTTTTGTTTTTTTAATACAAAATGAGATTCTTTCATTTAACAGTCTGGTGTCTGTCTCATATTTTGTAGAAAGGGGAGTGAAGGGGAAGGGTAGGGACTGAGTCAGGCTAGGCCACCTAGCACAGTGTTGGCTTTAGGTCTCCAGTCGTAAGCAAAAATGCTGTAAGTTAGGAGTCAGAGATCCTAGTCTGGACTGTCAGTGCTTAATCTGTAAAGCAGCAAAATTGTGTTACATTTCTGGGCCACATTTCTTTGTTTAAAAATATGTGAAAGTTATCATTGATGGGTTGCATTCAGTTGTGGAGAAGAGTTAGAGGGTCAAGCAAGATTTGGGGAAAATTATAATTCTGGATTTTCTAACTCTGCTTCAGTTTGACCAACTGCATCATTTATATTCAAATCCTTAATGTAACAGTTTATGTAGCAGAAGTAAACTGAGCCAAACCATTTCTAAATTCCTAACATGTATTTTGTGCTTGATTGATTTACAGTGTATAATGAAGACTATTCTATATAAGCATTCTAGTAGTTGGAATAAAAAGAATGTGGAAAATGTCGAAGATTTGCACAATACCACATTTTAAAAATTGAAATATCTGCTGTTATTGTCAACTATGTAGATCAAGTTTTCTCAGATTCAGTTCTGTTGAGATTTTGTGCCATGTAACTCGGTGTAAAGGACTATCCTATGCATTATTCGAATTACTAGTATGTTTGTTTATGAGTTTGAAAGCATCCCTGGCTTCTACCCAAACATCCCAGGTACACTTTAATCTGGGATACAGTCGTCATGAAATGCTAGTTTCTTATCCTTCCCCCCAAATATTTTAAAATAACCAAGTCTGTATGTAACTAAAATGGTTAAACTTTAAAAGAGAAAACATGAAGATTTTAAAACATCTACATACCTTAGCTATTTCTAAGAAATTATAAATTTTAGTTTCATTCACAATTTCTTACACTTAAAGTGTTCTTTTCTAATTTGCTCTTTTTTTACTACAGCCCTGGTCACATAATGTATTTATGCCTGATATTCTTTCCCATTTCTTAAGATGAATTTTACTGTCTTCTTTGATTCTAGCTGCTACTTTTGCTTCTTTGTTAGTTATTACTGCTCCTCCTCTGCTGTCATTTTTTTTTGAGCTAATATTACACCAAGTGATTTCTGTATTCAGTTACCTTTTTTCCTTAATAATCTAGGAGGTTACTTGCATTCACCTCTGAATTATTGATTCATTCATGATTTTGTTCAGTAAACATTTTTGAAGCATTTGCCACCTGCTGGCATCCAACTGCTCACTGAGCTGAAGCAAGAAAAGCAAGGTGAAGCAAGAAAGTTTAGTTCCTTATGTTCTTGTAGAAAGGGTTATAGTTACAGAAACTCGTGGCAGTTAAGCAAATTGTCAGAGCTAAGAAGCTGATGAGGAACAGCTGAAATTGTAACTCAGTTTATCAGACATTTCTTGAGAATTACGGTATTGATATCAGTTTAACATTAAACTCCACTAATGTACAAGTTAAATTAAGGTGTGGTATTTCTTTGCATAGATTTGTGTATTTTTCATTGAAATTTATAAATAAAAATTTTAGATAGCCGAGGATATAGCTCAGTGGCATAAGTGTCTGCCTGGCAAGTTCAAGGTCCCAGGTTCAATTCCCTGTACTGCCAACTTTTTTTTTTTTTTTTTTTTGCTTATGCATGGGTTTATGCAGCATGTTTCTCTTTTAACTGTACTTAGTGCTATCCTGCAATTTCTTTTACTTTTATATTAGTATTTTGTCTTTTTTAATGAAACAATTTGCTTACTTTTAATATATGTGTTGTTTTGTTGTATTTGGATAGCTTTTTTATGCATTCCAAGATGATCGCTATCTCTACATGGTGATGGAGTACATGCCTGGTGGAGATCTTGTAAATCTAATGAGCAACTATGATGTGCCTGAAAAGTGGGCACGATTCTACACTGCAGAAGTAGTTCTTGCATTGGATGCAATCCATTCCATGGGTTTTATTCATAGGTAAAGATAATGTTTTACATTTTCTTATGAGTTGAAAACAATGCCTAAAGAACTTCAGCTTTATTTGATTAACATTTTTTATCCTAAATCTCTATAATCTTCTCCCTTTAGCACAAGTGACATTGTAGAGTTGTCTTGTCAGCATTTAGTTTAAAGTTGATATAAATATATTCTTTAATGTTTCTTGATTTGTGTAGCTTTTATATTTGGAAAAGTAAAAATTGTAAACTAGCTTCTTAAAGTGTATGTCAATGTTACTCATTTTAATTTTAATTTTGTATAGACAGATAATTTTCTTTCAATAAGATAGACTGCATTTATTCTTTCGAAGAACAGTTTCATACATTGCAGAACACTGGTTGACTTACCTATGCTTGCTGCGCTATGTGTCAAGGATCAAAAATGAAAATGGTAGGCTGGGATGTAGCTCAGCAGCACAGTTGATTCTTGGCAAGTGCAAGGTCCTAAGCTTGATTCCTGGTACAAAAAAGAAAAGAAAGTGTCTTGGATCCAGTTCTGCAGTACAGTCTTCTATTATCTTTTCTGTCTGAGCAATATATTTTTGAATAGTTAATGTGTCTCGAATGATTGATTTTCTGCCTAGAAGAATCAGACTCTGAAGAAAAAGAGTTTATGCTGCTTTGTGGGCATTAACATGTAAAGGAGCTTTTTCAGTTTCTTGACATAGATAAGGGAAAACATGTAGATCAAAGGTGACCTGGTATAGATTAAGGATACGTGGCCCGAAATAACTGCCTCGTAAATTTTCTGTGTCTGATCTGTTTCAGAAATACTCTTTCATTTTTTTCTCTCCTTCAGAGATGTGAAGCCTGATAATATGCTACTGGATAAATCTGGACATTTGAAGTTAGCAGATTTTGGTACTTGTATGAAGATGAATAAGGTTAATTAATTTTATTTTCATTTGATTTTTGCTAGTCTAAGATACATGCTCCTTTAGAAAATGTTTGAATTCACAAACCATATGTCAACCTATGCAGAACTGATGGGACCTTATTTGCTGAAATAAATACCATGGTTTCAGTGTAGCATCAGTAATTTGTTAGTGATTTAATTTTTTTTCCTATTTAGAAAAAAATGTGGTTAGCTAGATTTACTAAATTCTTCCTAATAACTCTTATATACACTACTGATAACTAGAAATGGAATTAGTTTAAATGTCAAATACTCCAGTGTTAAAATCAGACTTTCATAAAAATTAGATTTTAAGAATATATATTTTTTATTGTTGCCTTCTGTTACCATGTAGATTTTACAGTTTATCTTGGAAGTCAGTTTAAAAAGGTATCCATGTTCACTCTTTAAATAAAAAATAGCTTTTACATACACAAATGAAGGAAGTAATATGCTACTTTTCAGTTGAGAGAGTTTTTTTCTTTAAGTTTATCATAGAGCAATAGGATGCTATATTTATTTTATTTAATTTATTTTCAATGTATTTTAGTACTGGGTCTGCAGGGTCCCACTATACAGATCGGAATCATAGTGACCCTCCTGTTTTCAGCCTCCCAAGTACTGAGATTACAGGTGCATGCCACAAACGCCCAGTCTCAGTTGTTGTCTCAGTATGCCCTGGGGCTGGCACTGCACACCAGAGGTCAAACCCCGGGCCCTGCATCTTCTGCCTAAACTGACACTTTAATCCACTGAGCTATCTGGCTGGCCCACTATATTTATTTAAAAAGACATTTATTGGCTAGAAACACTCCATAGAACTTTTATGTTAAATTTAGTTATAATTCTATTGCATTAATAAAGTAGGTGACAAATAATTTTGGAGAAGGGCATTAAAATATGCATCGTATATGTAGTCAGTGTTCCTAGGACTATAATGCCCTTCCCCCATATATATTTGTATAGTCATCAGCTTCTGTACATTTTCAAGGATCCTTGAATAGCTAGTAAAAAATGATGTAATCTGTATTTATAAATTATGTATTTATAAATTGTGGGTCCGTCAGACTTTCAAACTGGTTGCATTAGCTTATATACTTGTTCTCTGTCAATTAAGATCATTATATTGACACAACTGGAGAAATAATAAATAATGCCAATGTTGCCCCGCTCCTGGGCACACTGAGCCTGTGCACTAGGGAGGCAGAAAACAGGAAGATCACTACAAGTTTGAGCTGTAGTGAGACCCTGTACACACACACACAAAATCACTAGTGTTTATGTAATATACATAGATAGAATTTTGCCATGTATACTTTTTTTTTTTTTTTTTCAGAACTGGGGATTGAACTCAGGCCCTTGCGCTTGCCAGGGAAGCACTTATTCTACTAAGCTATCTCCCCGACCCCACATGTATACTTTTTACTATGTTACTTTTTGGAAAGTTTGCATTAAGTTTTGGCATATTATAGTCCAAAGGTTGAGTTCCACAGTTTATAATAAAAAAAATTATTTTAAATATTTGATAATTAAAAATTCAACCTGACCCCCTTTCTAGGAAGGTATGGTACGATGTGATACAGCAGTTGGAACACCTGATTATATTTCCCCTGAAGTATTAAAATCCCAAGGTGGTGATGGTTATTATGGACGAGAATGTGACTGGTGGTCAGTTGGAGTATTTTTATATGAAATGCTTGTAGGTGAGTAAAGGAAATTTTGTGTACCTCTGATATAATTACTCATGCCAAAATTTACTACTTGGCTGCTTCTGACATAATTACTACATTAAGCAATGTTTGATCCAAATCTGCTCCATGGTTTTTTAAAAGAAAGGCTTAGAGCAACTTTCTGATGCTATTTCTTTTTATATAATAAATATGTTTTTAGTTTAGCATGTATTTAGTTATTTTCAGTTGGTAACATTGGCATGTTTCCTTTGAAATAGATTGTTTCAAATAATGTTATTTTGCTACTATTTTCTTTATCAACTTTTCAGGTGATACACCCTTTTATGCAGATTCTTTGGTTGGAACTTACAGTAAGATTATGAATCATAAAAATTCACTTACCTTTCCTGATGACAATGATATATCAAAAGAAGCAAAAAATCTTATTTGTGCCTTTCTTACCGACAGGTAAATAATCTTAACATTGAACTTCCATTAATTCTAAAAAATTCTCATCTTGCTACTCAGTTTTTAAGTCCACATCTGAGCCCCTACATTTAAACTGTTAGAATATAAAAGTAGTCATTCATCCAATCATTTTAACAATGAAACCTAGTATAATTTTATTATATTTTGGTATCTTTTTCTATGTCTCATAAGCTTACTGTGTCTAAGCAGTTGCAATAATAACAGTTTTAGCAGATAAGTTGTTTTGTTATTTGTTTGATACAGGGTCTTGCTACATAGTTCATACTCATAGTGATCCTCCTGTCTCAGCCTCCCCATCCCCGGGATTACAGGTGTGCCATACCAGGGATCCAACTCAGGTCCTTGTGCTTGCCAGGCAGGCACTTAGACCACTAAGCTTGATGACAGTATTTTAATCTATCAAATCTTAAGATTTTTTTCCCTAACATGTTAATTTCTAAAATTAGAGTGCCATATATAAAACTTGTATTAATTTTATATATTACTTTAATTAGGACCATTTTCCCCAGTTATATAAAAAGGATGATACATCTTCATTTGTCTTTTTCTATTTGATAATACATTACCCTGAAATAAATAGC